AGAAACCTACTTATTAGTGGGCAGTCTCTGTTTCCTCACAACCAACTCCCTGCCTCTCAGCTCTAGGAAACCAGTAATCTACATTTTTTTTCCTTTTTTTTTTTTTTTGAGACAGAGGAGTCTCACTCTGTCACCCAGGCTGGAGAAGTGCAGTGGTGCAATCTTGGCTTACTGCAACCTCCACCTCCATGGTTCAAGTACTCACCTGCCTCAGCCTTGCTGAGTAGAAAGGACTACAGGCAAGGGCCCCCCTGCCCCACTGAGTTTTTTTATTTTTAGTAGATATTGTGTTTCACCATGTTGGCCAGGTTCGTCTCCAACTCCTTATCTCAAGGGACCCACTCATGTCAGCTTCCCCAAGTGCTGGGATTACAGGAGTGAGACACCACATGTGCTATAATATCCTTTATATCACTTATAGATTTTTCTATTCTGGATATTTCATATAAAACAAATTATGTGATTTTTCGTGACTATCTTTTTCCACGTAGCATAAAGTTTTCAGAGTTCATCCATTTGTTGCATATATCAGGACTTCATTCATTTTTATGTATGGCAAGCCAAATATTTCGTTGTATGGGTATACCACATTTTGTTCATTCTGTCATTGTTTGATGGATTTGGGGATTCTTTTCACTCTGAGCTATTATAATAATCTTGCTATGAACATTCACATATATGTTTCTATGTGAACATAAGTTTCCGTTTATCTAGAGTGTTTATGTTGAACTACAATTGCTGTGTCATATGGTGACTCTATGTTTCAATAAACTGTTTAATTATTTTACAAGCAGATTTACTATTTTACACTTCTACTAGAAGTGTAGGAGGGTTTCAATTTCTTTACATCCTTTTTAAAGCATATTGTTATCTGTCTTTTTAAATATAATCACCCAAACAGCTGTGAGGTAATATTTCAGTATAGTTTTAATTTGCATTTTGATGATGGCTAATGATGTTGAATATCTTTTCATGTGCCTTTTTCCATCTATCTGTACTCCTCAGTAAACTTTGTCTTTTGTCCATTTTGTAACTGAATTTTTTTTACTATTCAATTTTGGGAGCCTTTTACGTATTCAAGATACTAGTATATCTGAAACATTGACTTTGCATCCTACAATCTTGCTGAATTTGTTTATTAGTTCTAGTTTTTTTGTTCATTCCTTAGGATTTTCTATATGCAAGGTCATGTACTTTAACAAGAGAGATCACTTTATAGCTTCATTATCAATCTTTAATTTCCCTGGCAATTGCTTTGACTAGAACTTAAGGTAAAATATTTAATAGAAGCAGCAAAAGGAGACATCATTGTCTTGCTCCTAACTTTAAGGAGAAAGCATTCTGGTTTTCACCAGTTAGTATAAAGTTAGATTTGGATTTTTCATTGATATCCTTTATAAGATTGAGGAAGTTCCTTTCTATTCCTAGTTTTTTTTTTTTTTTTAAATAAATGAGTGTTGAATTTGTCAAATGCTTTTTATTCATTTTGATAGATGTTAGTTTTTGTCCTTTATTTTATTGCTATGGTGTATTCCATTTATTGACATTTGGATGTTAAACTAACCTTGCATTTCTGAGCTAAGTTATACTTTATTATGGTATAGGATTATTCCAATATGTTTCTGGACTTGAATTACTCGAATTTTGTTACTGGAACTGTTCTTACCCAGGTATTTAGTGACTTTATAAGGGTCAAACTGTTGAGGTGCAGTAGCATCTGTTCATTCACTTAGCATCTGAGATCATTCTACATCCTCCTCTAATATTTTCCTTTTCTCCTTATCATGTGAAAAAACATCTGCTTTCTGGTCTTTCCTCTGGTTTTGCCTTTTTGTGTTCTCTTGGTTCTCATCTATTATAGATAGCACTTATCTTTATGTCTCTTTATACAGATTGAATGTATCTCAAAGTTAGGTTGTTATTTTTCTCCATTTTCCACATTGCGTATATGTGAAGACTTTCAAACTGTTCCTTCTTCCTTTTCTTTTCTTTCTTCTATTCCCTCCCTCTCTCTCCTTTTCCCTTTTTCCTTCCTTTTTATCTGCTATAATCCTCTCCACCTCTTTATTTTCCTTTTGCTTTTTCTGGCTAAATAAGTGTGTGTGTATGTGTGTGTGTGTGTGTGTGTGTAATAGCCTATCTTCTTTCACAAAATAATTGACTGAATTTTAACAGATGCAGGAAGAGATCCTAAAGGAAAGTTAAAAATTATTGATACGGAGAAAAGAATATTAATGTGAAAAAAATGACAATGAAAAAAGACAGTTTCCTATTTAAACACTATAAACTATTTACCAGTGTGTCTTGGGATGAGAAAAGTAAAGGTGGGAGTAAAGGAAGATACCTTAGAGTAGTTTTCTCTTAATGAAATATCAGTGAGTAGAATTAGAGAGGGCAAAAGAGTAAGAAGAGCCCCTTTTATCAATCAGATTAAACACTTAAAAGATTTTACGACAGTGTTTCCCAGATTGTGCTTTAGATGTTAATACGTGTTGTGGGGTAAACCAAGTGATATGATCATTTAAGTCTAGCAATTCCTGTGTAAAATGAAGCTAAACAATATTTAGAGATTCTAATAGATTGGCATATTGCCAATATTAAATGATCAAAATAGTTAATATTTCTCAAAAATATTTAAACATGAGCCACCTAGAAAACACTGTAGCAGTCACCTGAGGACTGAGACATGCTTAGCTTTTAGACCGGGAATATCCAGTGGCCCTACCATTCAGAAATGTCAGGGTACTGGATGGGATGATATGGTAGCAAATATATTTTTAAAAATATTCTTGATACTTAAGTTTTGGCTCGACCATTAGGTAAATATAATAATGTGATGATTATAGATTGTCTTATCTGAAACTAGTTCCTCAGCATTTAAACTTGCCGCTTAGCTTCCAACTTATAGTTTCAAAAATAAAGAGTATAAAATATTTTAAAGCAGCAGTGTCACAACAAAGATTTATAAAATAAAATGTGACTTAAGACCAAAGTAAAAAATAAATTGTATATTTATTTATTAATGTAGTAGTTAGACAACAAAGTCAACTGGCTGGTAGGGAAATATTTGCAATATCAGATATATAGTTACTTAAAATTCTGCAATAAAACCAGTATTTTTAAAGAAATTTTCTATGAAAATTTCATATTGATAGTGCAGAGGCACATTTGTTTCATTGACAAATTTGATTCATCCAAAAATTATATATATGAGAAAAGAATGAAAAATGAAATATTTATTAAGAACTGCTTTTGTATTTTTAGAGAAACAATTCATTTGTCGATTAGTAATGACAATTATAGCTGCATTATATCATTTAAAGTTTTAATTGGGTAATAGCTATTATAAGCTTAGATTGTCTTAGACGAAGGGGTTTCTGTAACGGCGTTGTGATGGTTAATACTGAGTGTCAACTTGACTGGATTGAGGAATACAAAGTACTAATCTTGGTTATGTCTGTGAGGGTGTTGCCAAAAGAGATTCACATTTAATAAATGGGCTGGGGAAGGCAGATCCACCCTTAACCTAGTGGGCACAATCTAATCACCCTCCAGCAAATATAAAGCAGGCAGAAAAACGTGAAGAAGAGACACAGGCCTAACCTCCTAACCTACATCTTTCTCCTGTGCTGGTTGCTTTCTGCCCTTGAACATCAGACTCTAAGCTCTTCTGTTTTGGGATTCGGACTGGCTCTCTTTGCTCCTCGGCTTTCAAATGGCCTACTGTGGGACCTTATGATTCTATAATACTTAATAAACTCCTCCTTCTCTCTCTCTCTCTCTCCCTCGCTTTTCTCTTCCCTATTAGTTCTGTCCCTCTAAGAGAACCCTAACTAATACAGGAATAATGCAGGACAAAAATACAGGTGGAAAATGTCTTTTGGGTTGGGTGAAAAATAAGTAAAACTTCATTATAACTAATAGTGTTATATCAAAAGTAAGCTTTTAATAAATTAAATATAATCTTTACTTATTAAAATTAATGATATTGTTTGTATTTTTCATTTTTTAGACCTGGGTCCTCAAACTATTTAGTTAAGTGGCTGCATTATTCCATTATAAGTGCCTTTTTATATGTATTCTTGCCAAGTCATCTTTTAACTTCTGTCTTCTATCTGAAGGCAGGTTGTTACTTTAATGCAGTATTCTTCACATTCACATTTGTTTGTGAGAATTTTTGCCCATTTCCCAAGGCTTTTTCCCAATCACTTACTCCCTAAATGCATTCCAGCTTTCCTAGTTTCTTCTGATCTGCAAGGGCAGAGGGAGTTACCATGTACCCTAGGCTATCATGGCACCCTCTTCACATCTCAATTACTGTACTTACACCTTATTACAGTTATTTCCTAAATAACGGCCTATCTTCTTTTACAAAATAATTGAGTGAATGTTAACAGATGCAGGAAGCGATCCTAAAGAAAAGTTAAAAATCACCGACATGGAGAAAAGAACATGAATGTGGACAAAAAGTTCAGTGAGAAAAGTCCAGTGTCATGGTATTTTTAATGGTGAAGTCTCTAATGGAACTCAGAGTTTCCCTCAGACACAGTATAAAAGAGGAATATAATCATTGAGAAAATATTTTCATAGCACTTTATTATGAAGTAAATTTTTCATGTGGTATTGCTTATACAGTGTTTCATGGGGTACTGTGTAAATATTGATAAGAGAATGTCAATAGTAGTTAGGAGACAAGTATGTTGAAAAAAAATATAGTGATTACTTTTGTATAGTTGTTTCCTGTAGATTTTATATTTAAAAACTCAAAGCTCAACATCAGTATGTGTATGTAACTTAACAAAAGAATTTTACACAGAGATAAGCATGTATATTCAGAACCATTTTTAAATATAAAGTATGCACAGTAAAGTTTTATAATTCTCTGTTGAACATGCCTGTCTTTTGCATTACCAAAATACAGCAGGTTCATTTTAAATTTCCTTATATCTAGTTAACAATAACAAGGTCAGTATCAGAGACATAGAAAGTACTAAATAAATTTCAGCATTTTCTGTTTGAATAAGTAAATAAAACATACTGTCCAATGTTAGCCATTACATATAGTATCTATGGTTCTTTTTATACTTTGAGGATAAAATGAAAATTACAAGCTCGATAGCAAAACAGGCCAATTTTGATTTGCACATATTAATGTATGATCTTACACACACACACACACACACAGAGTTTTATTTTCACTCTTCGACAATTGGTTTAGTGGTTTAAATTATACGACATTTCCCTCAACTCTGCTTGTTGATTCAGATCCTTCCAGAGCAGTGGTGCCTATTTGTATTTATTTGTTTCCATGTTTGCTGGAGTAACAGTTTGTTCACAGATCCTATTTGTTTCTTGAGCTCTTCTTTTCTCGTTGTTATGTTTTGTGTGGTCAACCACACTTTATAGGTTTTCCCATTTGGATTATCTGGCGTGGAATGGTGAAATTTTAACATCTCAACCTTGATTGAAAATTTTCCTTGTTTCACTGAAATGAAATTGAGCTTTGGTGAGATGATGCTAAATATGGGTTGGCTACAGCTTTGTCTGCTCTTGTACACTTTCCAGAGATAAAAATTACACCTGGTTGTACTTTGATGCCACAGAATTAATGACTAAATATTCAGTGTGTAGTATTATAAAGGTTCCTTGGCATAATTGGGATCTTAAACAACCTGTATGACATTTCCAGCCAAAAGGTTGTGTGGAATTCAAAATCTCAGCATACCTATTCAAATTCTAGGGAATCTGAAAGCATAATGGAAAAAATTGAGGACTTAAATGTTCTAAACCATTTTAATAAGTTAATTATAAAATGAATTATTGAGTTAATGTGCACTTTGCTTTCATGCAGAACCATTTTTTTTATTATTTCCTAATGATTCAAAAAATTTGAAAAGGGCAGATTTTAATGTTAGCATTTTAACTAATAGATTCTATTTTTCAAGTATGGGCTTCATCTAACTGTGGATAGTAAGGTTTTTCTACCTAAAAGATTTTCCTAGATTAAAAACTAAGGTGTGTGTGAGCCCCTGTAATTATGTAAAAAGGTCCTGTCCCTCTGCTCTACTGATCTCCATTGCATTTACAGACTTCATCATGGTAATATATTCATTTGTTCCATTTTCTTTTCTCATTAGGTCTTTAAGTTCATTAACAAAATGCTGTAGCATTTAGAGCTTTACATTTGACTTTTCACAAAGCTGTGCGACTGTTGGGAAAAGCTGCAAAGGAGAAAAGACAGAGTGCCTACATAAATTGGTTATGAGCAACATATAAACAAGGAACAACAAACTGCGGAAGGCTGCAGGAGGCCTCTGAGGAGGAAGGCCTCTCCATGCCTCATGTTCCGGTGCAGGAGGTGACCTAGACTCTGTTACCATAAACATTGTGCTCAAGGACGTAAACCCTTTCATAGCACTATGACGTAGCCAGACTTGTAGGCTCCTTGTAAGGCACATGTTCCATCAGCTGTACATAGATAATAAGCTAAAGATAACCACATGTTCTTGTTTTGTGAAACTCCCAAACCGCCACTGATATCAATCTTTAGAATGATACACCAGTTCCATCTCACTGATTCAGTTCTGGCTCACTGATTCACTCCACCATCACCCTCTCCCCACCATCACTTCACCCCTACCCTACAGAGCTAAGTGATTGTAAGCAATAAATACTGTGGATGATCAGAGTTTGGGGCCTTCACTGTCTCCTCCAAAATAATGAGTGATGGCCCCCTAGTCCCACTATCTCTTTTAAACTGTCTTTTTCTCATTCTTTTGTTGCCACCATACACAGGGCACCCACAGGTGATATAGGGATGGTTCCCTACATTCTGGTGCCCAACGTGGGGCTCATGATTCCCTACATTCTGGCACCCAACATGAGGGGCTCATGGATCCTTACATGTGACCTGTTCGATATTCTCTAGTTTATTTTACTGGCAGTTCAACTCAAATAAACACATATACGTAGTTGAGTTACACAACTGTGATTTAATTAAGGCATAAAAGGAATTCAATAAGTCAGAACCAGTTTTTAAGTAATAAAGTTAATATTTTTTCAAGATGAGAAAAGAGAATAAGAAGACTACACTATACCTAGCAGGGGAGATACCATGATCGTGAAGGTAGTTTTCCCAGGGCGAGGCTTATCCATTGCACTCTGGATGTGCTGACCCCGGCAATTTCCCCAAATGTGGGAAACTTGACTGCATGATTTGTGGTAGTGGGGGCCTGCATTCACACTTCCCCCGAAAAAAGTTCTTTTATTAAAAAAAGAAAAAAAAACAAGATTACACTATAAAAATGGGCTAAAACATTTAAGTAAAATTATTGATCTCCATCTTAGACCTGAGTCTTTTATATTATATTCATTCATTCAACCATAAAAATCTTTTTTGAGGCATACTTAGGGCAAGGATTTCTGGGAATTAAACATCAGTTCTTCCAATTCCAGAACTTCAGGAAGCTGTAATCTCTTAGGTGAATAATAGACACATAAATATCTATAATATTTGCTGAAGATATAAATACAGATCTACAGGTTTTAGAAAATTAAAAGAGTATTCCAACTGAGGAAACAAAGAGCTCTCTAGAAGGGATGGAAATTGAGTTAGAAAAGACTAGGAGAATTTTGATAAATATTAGTAGAGGAAGGCATTCTAGGCAGTTGGAAAGCTAGAGTTTAAGTATAATGAGAGAATCTTAGATTTTTAGTTTGTTTTACTTTTTCATAAACATTTTTAAGTAAGAATCATTTTGACTAACTAAATTAAGCTTCTTGACAGATACAGAATATGGAACTGAAGTCTGCGAATGCATTTTCACATTTTCAAGTACACTTAGAATATTTACAAATAAAAGAATCACATCTGGGGCATAAAGCCAATTTTACTACGTGGTTAAAACAACAAAAATTTATTTCTCACAGTTTTGTAGGCTGGGAAGCACAAGATCAAGGTGCCAGCAGACTTGATGTCTGTTGAATCCCTATTTCTTACTCACAGAATGGCTGCCTTCTTGATGTATCCTCACATGGCCTCGAGAATGATCATCTCTCTCCTGTGTCCTCTTATAGGGGCACTAATCCCATTCATGAGGGCTTCATTCTAATGACCTAATTACACCCCAAAGTCTCACTGCCCAATACTATAACACTGGAGATTAGGATTACATATATAATTTTGGGGGTACAAAATCAGTCAGTGCATAGCACCTGACATTAAAAATTTGTCTTTTGCCTTCCTCTTTGGCCTTATATTCAACCACTTTAGTGCTCCATTTCTTCCAATAATGTCTGACCTAAAATAATCACATATCACTTTTTACAAATTATTTTTGCTTATTGAGATATAATATACCTCATAAAATTCTGCTAGTGTCATTTCCAATTTAATAATTTTAATGAAATTTTACTACCATCACTGCAATCCAGTTTTTTAATAATTCCATGACTTTAAAAATTATGTTGATACCATTTTAAATTAATTTCTATTATTCATTTTAAATTAATTTCAGTCTTAGGCATCCTTGGTCTGATTTTCAGTCTGCATATATGTTCTCTTTTATGTATATTTCTATAATTTAAATCATACAGTACAAAATATTTTGAATCTAGTATGTTCTTGAGGTTCATTGTTTGAGATTCACTATTTCATCTTTTTTATTGCTGAACAGTATTTCATTGTATAGTATACAACATTTTGCTTATTAAATCAAGAACTTATGAATATTTTGATTGTTTCCAGATTTGGGCTGACATCAGTTATGTTACTAAGAATATTTATTTACAAGTTGAGGTGTGGATATATGTTTTTATTTCTCTTGAGTAAAATACTAGGAGTAGAATTGCTTGGTTATAGAACAGATTTAGGTTTAACTTTAAGGCTGCAGTCCCCAATGGTTTTGGCACTAGGGAACTAGGGTTTTGTGGAAGACAATTTTCCATGGATGGAGCAGGCACAGATGGGGGATGGTTTTTGGATGAAACTGTTTCACCTCAGATCATCAGGCATTAGATTCTCACAAGGAGCATGCAGCCTAGATCCCTCACATGCACAGTTCACAATAGGGTTCCCACTCCTATGAGAATCCAGTATCACCACTGATCTGACAGGTGGTGGAGCTCAGGTGGTAATACTATCTTGCCAACTGGTCACCTCCTGCTGCGCAGTCAGGTTCCTAACACGCCAAATACTAGTATTACTCCATGGCCTGCGGGTTGGGAAACCCTGCTTTAAAGAACTAATAAAACGTTTTCCACAGTGACTATGCAATTTTACATCTCTGCCAACAATATATGAAGGTTCCAATGCCTTCACATCCTGGCCAGTACTTGTACTTGCTATTGCCTTCTTTATTATAAATCTTTTATCATGCATGTAGCATTATTACATTGTAGTTTAATGTACATTGTTTACTAAGGAATGTTATGAAACACCTTTTCATTTACATACATCAGCTACTTGTATATCTATGGTGAAATGCTTTCTCAAGCCTTCTGTCCATTTTCTTGTTGAAGTTGTTTGTCTTATTACGTTGTAAGTGTTCTTTAAATACTTTGAATATAAGTTATTCATGAGATATATTATTTACAAACATGTTTTCCCTGACTATGGACTATCTTTACCTATGTTTTTGTCCAGAAGTTTGAAAATATGAGTTCTTACATTTATGCCTAAAATGTATTTCATTCTAATTTTTGTGTATAATCTTAGAAAGGGGTGTGAAGATTATTGTTGTTGTTACTGTTTTTAAATTTGGCTATTCAATTATCTCAGATCCATTTAGCAAAAGGATTCTCCATTACCTATTGAATGTCTTGGCATCTGTGTTAAAAATCAATTGACCAGAAATATATGAGTTTATTTCTGAATTCTCATTTATTTTTCATTTACATATAAACCTGTCATTATTCTACTATCATATTGTCTTCATCAGTGTAGTTTTACAATAAGTTTTGAAATCAAAGTCCTCTAGCTTTGTTCTTTTTCAAATTCATTTCTCCATATCTTTTTAAGTCAGCTCACCGAGTGTGGTGGCTCACGCCTATAATCCCAGCACTTTGGAAGGCCGAGGCAGGTGGATCACAAGGTCAAGAGATCAAAACCATCCTAGCCAACATGGTAAAACCCTGTCTCTACTAAAAAAATACAAAACTTAGCTGGGTGTGGTGGCACATGCCTGTAGTCCCAGCTACTTGGGAGGCTGAGGCAGGATAATTGCTTGAACCCAGGAGGCAGAGGTTGCGGTGAGCCGGGCTCATGCCATTGCACTCCAGTCTGGGTAACAACAGCAAAACTCCGTCTCAAAAAAAGAGAAAAAAAAAATCTCCACAATTTATACCATTAGTGAGAAAGACTTGGGGATTTCTGAAAATTCCCTTTAAGATGTAAATAAGCAGGGAGCAGGGGGCATTCAAACCTAGCAGAATTACTGCAAATATCTGTGACTGTGTGGTGGGCACTATGGGGGAAAAAACCTAGAGAAAGCAGCACCCGGAGAACATCCTTACTCCTAGTGGAAAGTGATTTAGCCAATTATGAGAATGAACAGGGTAGCAAAGGAGTGCTGTAAGTGGCTAAAAGGGACTTATATTGAAAAAACTGCTATCACTGTAACAATGAAAACAGTGACTTAGCTGATAAAGTTTCTTCCCTACATGTCCAAGTTTCTTCCAACTGGTCCAAGAAAATCCAACACTTATATTTAAACATCAATACTAATTTTTAAAAATAAGAATATAAAGATTTCTTTTTATTTTTTTTTAAATAATAATTTTTATTTTAAAAAATGAGAATATAAAGATTTTTTATTGGAGTAATTACACTTAACATGAGATCTACTCACTTAAAAATTTAAATGTACAATATTGTTAATTATAAGTTCTATGTTTTACAGATTTCTAGAACATTCATCTTGCACAAATGAAACTTTATACCCACTGGACAGCAACTTTCCATTTCTCCCACCTCTCGGTATCTGGGAATCCCCATTCTGCTCTCTGTTTCTATGAGTTTGACAATGTTACATACCTTATAGATGTTGAATCATGAGATATTTTTCTTCTGTGACTGGCTTGTTCATTTAGCACAATGTCCTCCAGATTCATTCATTTTTGTCACATGTGGTAGGATTTCCTTCTTCAAATGTCCATTGATGAATGAATTAATAAAGAAAATGTGGTATCTGCATACAAGGGAATATTGTTGAACCTTTCACTAATTTTTGTATGAGGGTAATAATACTGGTTTCTTTCAGCACTTTAGATTTATTACTCCATTGTTTTGCAGACTCCGCTGTCTTTGATGAGAGATCTGCTGTTAATTTTATTATTTTCCCTGTACATGATGTGTCAGTATTTTTTTTGTTTTTTGCTGTTTTCAAAATTTTACCTTTGTCTTGGACATTGGACAACTTAATAATAATGTGGCTATTTTGGATCTTTTTGTGCTTATTCTGAGATTCTCTGAGCTTTTCAGACTGTATGTTCCTCAAATGTGAGAAGATTTTAGCATTCTCCCCTAATCTGTGTGTTCACATGTACTACATGGTCATGGAGTTTTGCATGGTTTGATTCTGCTCTGGTCTCTGCCAGACATATATATAGTTTCTGATCAAACTGATATAGTTGGAGAAGTATCAGGCTCTCTATTCTTATCTAATTTCCTGGAATTCCCTTTTATAACCTACCTAGTTTAATGCAGCATTTGCTTACCTTAAGCAGACTACAAACTAAGGGTGGCAGAACTGGTGGGCCTCCCATTTGCTTGCCACTGAGAGTACCACATTTATTGACAGTTTCCAATCTGGTGTACCTCCTTCCCACAGAGACAGGAAAGATGCTGAGTTTCATGGTTTTACCTACTCTGATTGAGCACTCATGTTCACAGGTCTGCAGAGATGGTTAGAGCAACTTTAGTTCAAAATGCAATAGAGTATTATTGTTCTTACCCGAAATTCAATATTTCTCTGTATGCCTTTGTCCAATTTCCAATGCACTACAATGGTTGTCTTTGAACAGTTTTGTCAGTCTCTAAAGTTACTTTTCGGGGAAAAGAGTTTTTAAAAAATCTCTTTATAACATTATATTGTAGAGCAATCTCTGTCTTCCTTATTTTTAAAGTTTTTTTTAAACTGTGTTGAATAAATTACTAAGTGAACAAATCAATTATTATGTTACAACTACCTTGTAATAGTCTATATAATTACAACTCAAATACATACTTGGCAAAGGCAGAGCCCTTTCATTCCAAACTACTTCAAAGTTTTATATTATATAATGTTTTAAAACATAATAAACATAGATAAATGAAACAGAGTAGAGAGGCTAGATGCCTAACAAGTTTTTGGAAAACATGCAATGTCAGTTCATTGGAGGAGGAATAGTCATTTCAATAAATTTGTCACCATTTCAATAAACTGTGCAAATAGAATTGGACATCTATGAGTAAAGGAAACAAATTTTGACCTAAACCTCACATCATATGTAAATATTAATGCTAACAGGATTATGAATTTAATGTAAGATATAAAACTATAAAATGTTTAGAAAGAAAATCTTTTGGACCTGTGACTAGGCAAAGAGTTTTTATGTGAGACACAAAAAGCATAATATGTGAAAGGAAGATTTTATAAATTGGGCTTCATAGAATTTTTAGAAATTTCTTTGTAAACATCCTCTTAAGATATAAAGGAAAATTATAAACAGATGAGAAAATATTTGTCATCTTTAGTTCTTCTTTTGTAAAATATCTGTTCATATCTTTTTCCCATCTTGTAATTGGAATTATTGTTTAATGTTCAGCTTGTAGAGTTTTTTACATTCTAGATACAAGCCCTTTGTTGAAAATATGTCCAACACCATTAGCCATTAGAAGGCTGCAAATTAAAACCACAATGAGATAGCACTGTATACCTACTAAAATGGATATGCTTAAATAATAGGGATAACATCAACTGCTAAGTGAGAATGTGGAGAAACTTGATCAAATATATTTTACTCTTGGTAATGTTAGGTTCTATAATCACTAGGGAAAATTACTCAGCTTAAAATCTAGTAATTACACTCTCAGATACTAATACCAGAGAAGTGTAGACTTATTTTCTTTTTTTTAAATTTTTTATTGCATTTTAGGTTTTGGGGTACATGTGCAGAACATGCAAGAGAGTTGCATAGGTACACACATGGCAGTGTGTTTTGCTTCCTTTCTTCCCTTCACCCACATTTGGCATTTCTCCCCAGGCTATCCCTCCCCAGCTTCCCCACCCCCCGCTGGCCCTCCCCTTTTCCCCCCAATAGACCCAAGTGTTTAGTGCTCCCCTCCCTGGGTCCATGTGTTCTCATTTTTCATCACCCGTCTATGAGTGAGAATATGCAGTATTTCATTTTCTGTTCTTGTGTCAGTTTGCTGAGAATGATGTTCTCCAGATTCATCCATGTCCCTACAAACAACACGAACTCATCAATTCTGATTGCTGCATAATATTCCATGGTGTATATGTGCCACATTTTCCCAATCCAGTCTATCATCAATGAGCATTTGGATTGGTTCCAGGTCTTTGCTATTGTAAACAGTGCTGCAATGAACATTCATGTGCATGTGTCCTTATAGTAGAATGATTTTCAAGCAGAAATTTGTACACAAATTTTCATAGAGTCTGTATTTGTAATAGCCTTAATTGAAAAATACTCATGGATCTTTCAGTGGTTAATAGTTACACTGCGTGGTACAGTCACACTATTTGATTACTACCCAGCAATAAAGTGAAATGAAATAATGATACATGCAACACTGTGAATGGACTTCTGAAAATTTTGTGATTAAAAATACAAGTATCAAAAAGTATACAGTGTGTATATAATCCTATTTGTCGAATACTTGTGAAAGAAGCAGAGAGATGGATGCTGATTAGTAATTGCCAGGTGTTGAGGGCAGGTGATTGAACAACTCCAAGGGGGTAGCAAGAAGGAGAATTATGGTAATTGTGATAGCAGTTATGTATCTTGATGATGGTTTTAGTTACAGAAAGTTGTCTGTGATAAAATTGCAGAGCTATACACACTCAGATACTGCCTCTGCTTTAACACAACTGTATGTGTAGCTGGTGAAATCTGAATAACCTCTGTGTTTTGAACCAATGCCAGCTTTTTGGTATTGATATTGTACTATAATTTTACTTGATGTTAACACTAATGGGAGACTGAATCATTGGTTTGGGGTACCTCCCTGTACATTTATTTCTGACTTCCTGTGAAGCTATAATTGTTTCAAAGAACTTTTTTTAAATTTTGAATAAGAAAAAATTCAAAGTTGAAAAATAATGGAAAATATAAATAATAAACATGGCTAATTAAAAAACTTTAAAACACAAGAACATTGAAGAAAATTAAGAAAATAAATAAAAACCCAAACAGCATGACCGATTCTCACACATAGGGAGAACTACTGTTGATATTCTGGTATACACATATTTCTTTCTTTTAATGCATGTAAGAGATATTGTTTCATAATAGACTTTTAAAATATTACATTGTGAGTATGTTCTTGTCTAAATATTCTTCTATATAATTTTAAATGTTTACATAAGAGTGAAACATGGGCAAGTGCCATAACTACTAAAGAAATGATTTTTGGACATTTAATTAGGTTCTGATTTTTATTATGGCAAATAGATCTGCCCTAAATATTCTTTCAGGCTTTTCTTTACATAAACTTGTAATTATTCAGGATACATTTCTAGACATGGTAATGGTAGGTAAAAAATTAGGCATATTTCTAGTTTTCTGATGTATATCAAAAAGTTGCTATTGGCTGGGTGTGGCGACCCCCACACCTGTAATCCCAGTACTTTGGGAGGCCAACTTGGGCAGATCACTTGAGGCTAAGAGTTCTAGACCAACATGGTAAAACCCCATATCTACTAAAAATACAGAAATTAGATAGGTGTGGTTGCAGGCGCCTGTAATCCCAGGTACTCGAGAGGCTGAGGCAGGAGAATCGCTTGAGCCCAGTGGGCAAAGGATGAAGTGAGCTAAGATCACACCACTGCACTCAAGCCTGGATGACAGAGCGAGACTCCATCTCAAACAAACAAACAAACAAACAAACAAACAAACAAACGTTGCTCTCAAGAGCATTGTACCAATTTATATTCCCATTAAGAATATTTTAAATTTGTCTCACAAGTTCATATATTAAAAAATGCTACTATCATTAAAATATATGTTTTAATATAGAATATTATCTGTCCATAATGATACATAAATATGTCATCAACTTAATAGGTGAAAATAATCTTGTTATTTTTAAAAATTTGCATTAACTTTGTTTTATGTTTATTGGCCATGTTATTTTTCTTTGGCGATTTGGTCATTATATCCTTCATCCATTTTATGTTAGAATATTTAGCATTTTTTTAAACACTTTTGACCTAACCAGCTTACAATAACATTCTATATTCATATTCTGTTTCAGAGATATTAAATTATTAATCAAAATAATATATTACATATTATGTCATATGTAATATATTACATATTACATACATATTATTATAATATATCGCACTATATTATGCTTTTTCAAAATTTCATAAGATTGCTTCTCTTGCAGCTCTCTTTGGGGGGTGTTTAATAAACCAAACACTGTACTACATTTTACTAGTTTTGAAAGTGCATAAAAAAACAGATGTAATTCTCTAACAATTAAAGCAAAGAGTTTGATAACATACCGTCATTTTTTCTGTAATATTTTTCAGTTTTTAGCATGTAAAAACTTTAAATATTTATTAGTAAAAATTAATATGTGTTATTTTATTGCATTTACTTTATGATCATTAGATATGATTATAACCATATTCCAAAGGTCTCTCTCAGACATTACATAATAAAGATTTTAAGTTATTTTATAAAGAGATAAAAATTCTTTTTGGCTTTTATGACAATTTTTCAGAATGCAGAAGTCTAGGGGTTACTATAAACACACATCAGGAATTTTATATCCTACTTTTCCAAATTACAGACTTTATGTGAAAATCCTTTAACATCTCATTGCAATGACTTAACCATCTGTGAAATGTGTGTAGTAAGAATACTTGGTGATTTGAAGCTTAATTAATGTTACAAATGTCCTTTGAAATCCCTGGATTAAAAAAAAGGTACTAAAATTTCAAAATTTATGAAATTA